GGTACTGTATGTATAAGTTTTACTACAATAAAATACATAAACAGAGCATTCAACATACAAAGAACATATAAGTTTCAAGTCTTGAGGATATTCAATGTCGTGGAATCAAGAATTATACATAACACAAATCCAGTAGAATATTAATAAAGAAAAGAAAAAAAGTTGGTAAGAATCTTGGGTCAAGATCTGTCAAAAGTAGATCATCAACAGATCGGAATCGGAGCTCCGTTCCACTCCTTCAGACATTCCAACAAAGGATCAATAAGTTTTCCATCAGAAATCGCCGTAAACACTTTATCAAACTCCTCTCCCGGCGACCGAACATTCTCTCCGGTAAGCAGCTCAGTCTCCAGCTCGTTGCGGACGAATCGGTACAACGGATAAGACCGACATTCCGTAATCCTGTTAGCTATAACCGAGGATCCTTCCTCGTACTCAGTCCGGATGCGTTCCACTTCTTTAGGGAGAAGCAATTTCAGCTCAGACTCAAACGCTCCGATTTTCTGGAAAACCGATGTCGTGGAATTAGCCTCGCGTTCTGGATCCGCTAAAGCGTGGTCGACAAGAATGTGTCTAAGTTTCTGCATCAGTGGGTAAGTGAGGCTGCAGGGATCGTCTGCGTATGAGAACACGAACTCTCGGTCAACAACTAGAAGGACATCACGCTCGGTGAACCTCGATGGATGTAGCTCACCGTTCGCACCAACGGTTAAGACCCGTTTCGCTACCTGGCTCACCGCGGCTTTAACCGCTTTCTTTAGATTCTCTTCGAGATGTCTTAGGTCAACGGCTTGGCATAGCGCAACTAAGTAAGTTGTGGACATTAGCTTGAGGATATCTACTGCTTCTGCGGTTTTCCGGCTCGAGATCAGCCCGAGGGAATTAACGTCTTGGTTATGCTGCTCGGCACTTTGGACGTGGTTGGTCACGGGATTAGCCAAGAACTGAAGCTCGGAACAATAAGAAGCCATAGCTATTTCCGCGCCCTTAAACCCGTAATCAAGACTAGGGTTTCTCCCACCGGATAGATTAGAAGGCAAACCGTTGTTGTAGAAATCGTTCACAAGTTCAGAGAATTGTGCAAACATGAGTTTTCCAATTGAAGCAATGGCTAGACGGGAATTATCCATGGCGACACCAATCGGTGTCCCCTGGAAATTCCCACCGTGCAAAGCCTTGTTCCTCGATACATCGATCAGAGGGTTATCGTTAACCGAGTTGATCTCACGTTCAATCATTTTAGTCGCTGCTCTGATCACTTCGATTTGTGGTCCAAGCCATTGCGGTGAGGTACGTAAAGCATATCTGCAGCTTAACCGGAAACATAAGTTAGCTATATATAACCAAACCAAAAATCAACTTCAACGCACAAAGTTTGTTTCCTTGAGAAGCAAGAAAGATTACCGGTCTTGTTTAGGTTTTTGAAGAGGATCCATTTCGTGGAGATGTTGAGCTTCTTTAACGTAAGAGCTTCCGTCTAATATATGTTCCATAATCGCAGCGGCTTCGATCTGACCAGGATGGTGCTTGAGTTTATGCGTAAGATGATCCGTAAACTCTGGTTTCCCCTGCATAACCTCTGCAAACATCGCAGACATAACTTCCGACAAAACCGCCAAAATATTGGCCTCAAACAGAACCGTTGAGGCCAAACCCGATCCAACCGCTGTCCCATTCACAAGGGCTAGTCCTTCCTTAGGCTGCAGCTCAAAGAAAGACGACACTCCGGCGAGCTTAAAAGCATCAGAGGCAGTGAGAGGCTCACTGGAAGGACCCACGGCTTTGGAGTTGGGACGGCCAGTGAGGAGACCGGCGATGTAAGAGAGCGGAACAAGGTCTCCGGAGGCGGTGATGGTGCCACGGAGAGGGAGGCAAGGAGTGATTTCGTGGTTGAGAAGCTTTGTAATAGCTTCAAGAATCTCGAAGCGTATACCGGAGTAGCCTTGGAGGAGAGTGTTGACACGGACGAGCATTGCCGCTCTCGTCGCCGGCTTAGGCAACGTGTGTGACGTGTCTCCGGCGCCACCGCCACCGCCGAATATTCCGGCGTTAAGGAACCTGCTCGTTCGAGTCATAAATTGCATGTTACCGTTAATTTCGTCCGTGACTAAATAAATGAATAAAAACAAATTTTCGTTCATAATTAGTCGAACTTATTATATTGTTGAAATGACCGAATTTTAGGTTACTTCATAAAAGAATAAATTGAAGTTTGGTGTATGAAGTGAAATGCGTGTAATCAATAGCGTCTATAACTAATTATTATGTGTAACTTAATGTCACCTATTTATGCCAAACACCAAATTAATCAGCTAATTTAACATTACCTACAGATATATCCACCAAAGTATTAGGTGAAACAATTACAAAAAACAAAAATTGTTAGGCGAAAGAGAGATCACCAAGATCATACTTTTAACTTGTTTCACAACATTTATACCCGAATTTCAATTTACAATTTTTGATTTCCTTTCTCCTATTAATAATAACTTTATGGGTCCAAAAACATATTTACCAACGTATTAAATTTCAATTTACAAGAACCACATATAACAAAAATGTTGACATTATTCTTAAATATTAACTTAAACTTTAAGGGTATCTCTCACGATTCAAATATTCAGTAGTCTAAAACACATTATTTTTAGAAAAAAAATTGAATTGTACACACATTTAATTTTAAAACGTAACAAACAGAGAAAATAGTACTATATATAAATTTTTAAAATTATAACCACCTATAAGGTATTTAGTATTTACAATTAAGAATTTACCTAATAAGCTCCTTTTGAAGTGCACCGCCTTGTTTGGTTCTTCTATGGGAAGTTGCTCCAAACCCTGTGGTGACTCCATAACTGTCCGTGCCACGGTTCATGCTCTCCATCACCCATTCGCTACTCGCCTTCACTCCGGCACGAGCCTCCTCCGCTAGCTCCACCGTCACTCCTTCGTTAGCCACGGCGGCGACTTGACCAATCGTCAACGTCTCTCCTCCTAATTTCACCGTTCCTTTCCTGTAATCTTCCACCATTCGTTTCACCTCCTCCAAGTGGCTCCCTCTCAAATTTTCCGCCGCCGCGTTCCAGTTCAACGGATCGCCGGAGACGACGGCGACGTGGTTGATGCTCTGTTTGCACAACTCCATAGTTAAACGCCGACCCAAGTTGAAAAAATTGGATCTTTCGATGACCCGGATTGAGAAAACGTTTTTTGGATCCGACCCGGTTTAAAGAATATGGTCTCTTTCTCCGGTGATGTTATTAGACAAAACAAAGCTTTGCAAATGTGTGCATGTACTAACTTACACGTTGCGCTTACAAGATTATTGATTTTATTTGATAATCTATAAAATTTAGAAAGGTTAAACAAGAAGGAAATTTATATTTGATTGCAAATAAATTTCCTGAGAGAAAGTTGAGTGACATTAGAGGTTTTAAATAGAGGCAAAGAGTTGGTGAGAAGGAGACGGTGTGTTAGTTGAAATGTGTCTACAACCGTCAGATGTAATTTGCAATCTGGACGGATGTGTATTCGCCACGTGGCTTCCATGTAAATGAGTCGTCTTTACATGCCGAACTCGAGCGTCAGGTTATCGCCAGAGAAAGGGACACAATGTTTGGTGCGAGTGTGTGGAACACCACAAATCCATTTTCACGATTTTTCTTAACCATATAATTTTGTAGTTAACTTCTTGCATGAAACGTTCTCTAAAAAAAAAAAAAAACTTCCTGCATGAAATGTTGCTAAATTGTTTTTTTTTTCGTTTACGGTTGTTTTGTTGTTT